TGGAAACAAAGTTGATTGAAAACTCACAATTTTCATACAATGGAAGATTTTTTCTTTCAAGCTTGTCCCTTAGCTATCCTTCAAGTCAAAAGTTTTCCTATAAAAAATTGGATATGTTGTGGCTAAGATTTTTCTTTATACTTTTGTTTGGATTTGACTTGCTTTCATATGTATTTTTTCTTCTATGATTTTGTTAAGCAGTCAAGTCACACAAGGAGGGTTCTTTCCATTCTAGTTGCTCCCAATATGTATTATTATTTCTTCTATGATTTTGCTAAGCAGACACAAAGGAGGAATAAAATGATTGATATTTGCTCCCAATAGGTATTATTTCTTCAATTGTGATTTTGAAGGTTGGAGCTAGTCCTCCTAGGCATTTGTACATCAACTTCTCAGCACACCAAAATCCCATCCAATCAATTTCCATTTGATTCAAATTCTTGTTAGCCAATATAATGATTGATGTTGGCCCTCCAGTACTACTAAATCAATGACAGCCTGAGTTTTCTAATACAAGATTAAATAGTCTGAGAATTCAACAAGACCAGCCTTAAGACAGCCAACTTTATTTTGTTCATGTTGTATCTCAAGGGGGAATAATGAAGGAGAATTTTCCTCTTCCTGGTAGATAAAATCCAGAACGAGACACAAGGAGAAATCCCGGGCAAAAATTACATAAGAGGGAAAAAGGCCAAACTATACATCAGCCCATAAGCTAAATTCTTCCGGCAAATCAATCAAGAAACAAAAGAAAGAGATTCCTAATAGTATTTATCAATAGAGAGAGAGAGAGAGAGATTCCTAATAGTAATCTACGTTACACGGACTCGGGTGCGGGTATCAAGTATCGGGTGCGGGTATCAGGTATCGGGTACGGATGTGTATCTAAGGGTCGGACACTTTAAAATTAAAAATTAAGGATACGTGGATACGGATCCAAATTAGGATACGGGTACGGGGATACGTTAAATAGTTATTTTTAAATATATTTATTATATGAAGATGAGTTTAAAAAAGTTAAGGAATAACAAATTTTATTAAAAAAAATAACAAATAAATAATAAATAAAAATTATTTTATATATAAAATAAATTATATTAATTTTAGGCATAAAAATTAATTATTTATGATATATTATATTATATAATTTTTTTTTGGATAAATAATATTATATATTATTATATTAATGTAATTTATATTATATACTAATATAAATGTATATAATATAAAGAGTAGAGAGAAGTCAGACAAATAGACAGAAGAAGAGAGAGGAGAGGAAGAGGGAGATCGAGATCGAGAGACGAAAGGAGAAGAAGAGAGATCAAGAAATGAGAGAGAAGACAGAGAAGGAGATTGAGAGACGAGAGAGAAGACAGAGAAGGAGAAGGAGATCGAGCATTGAGCATCGAGCAAAAGTCGAAGCTGCGACCAGAAGGATCGAAGTCGGTGACCGATGTATTCGTCGTTTCGAAAGGCGACTAGGTTCTCTCTTGCTCACTCCTCTTCCATTTCTTTTGCTATCTGTAAAGAGCCGTATCCGAGAGAAAATAGGCAAATCCAACATAGATCCTACACCCACACCCGCACCTGTGTCGTGTCATGTCGACACAGGTACTTCCCAAAGTGCCAAGTCCATGTAACACAAATTTCAACCATTATACATCACAGGAAAAACCACCCGATGCTTCAGCCCACGTCATTATTATAATATAAGCACTACACTAAAAGTAACTATTAATATTGACTTCTTAACTTCTTCCCCATCTTCATTATTTAATATTTATATTCTCTATTATCAGAATCTTACGATTCGCGATTCGATTCGCAACTTTTGCAAAATCAATACGAATTTATGGGTGAATCTATTTTAGAAGTGAATCTCTAGTGAATCGCATGATTCACAATCGATTCACGATTCGATTTACTTTTTACAATTCATGTAATTTTTGAAATTATTGTGTCCGACATATTTTCAACTCTTTTTTCCTCCATCTTTTTAGTGCAAATGACATAATACAACTTCTAATAGCGTTTAATACTAAAATAACCAGCATATATACATGATTTGTTATTATTTTAGTACCCAACATATTTTTAACCTTTCTTCTCATTTTTTTTTCCTTTTAAAAAATCATAATATATCTTCTAAAGATGTTTAAGATTAAAGATAACTATGAATTATCTATTACTATTTTATTAAATTGAATATTACATGTGTCAGGCCAGTTATCATTTTTAAAATGTTTTAGGCTTTAAAATAAAAAATTCTAAAAAATTCTTTCTTATTATTTGCTCACTGTTACTTAGAAAAGTATATATGCTTATTGTCCAAATATCAACATTGTTAATTATTGTTACTTCGAAAATTGATAGTTTGTCTATTTGGTTATTATCTTTATTAAGAATGGTTGATAAGAAATATTAAAAAAGAAAAAAGGTAAGATGGTAAGCTTACATAGGAACCTTTGTTAACTTCTTACCTATTATACTACGCAATTATTATTCAAAATAACATTTTTATTGATTTAAGTCTAAATATTTTATATTCATAAGATATATTTAACATCTAAATTTGTAAATATATGTTTTTAAGTAATTTATAAAAAGTGACCGAATTTTTACGATTCACGATTCGATACAAGGCCATTTCGATTCACAATATGAATCCCGATTTGACAACTATGTTTATATTATAATCAAAAGAAATAAAAAAGAGAGAGAAGAGAGACTCAGACAAACACAAGAGAGAACACCGAGAAGCGAGAGAGAACAACGAAGTGAAAGGCGAGAGAGGAGACAGTGAGAAGAGGAGGCGATCAATTGAGAGAGAAGAAGAGTAGATCGAGAGACGAGACGAGATCGATCAAGGGAGAGACGAGATCGATCGAGGGAGAGACGAGATGAGCTTGATTGATCTAGAGAAGACAAGTCACGAGATCGAGATTGAGAGAAAAGGGATAGACAGATAGAGAGGAAGAAAAGAAACAGATCCGTGATCAAATTCGCATTTCTCTAGCATCAAACTCGTGATTCTTCTACGAATCTGCGTCAGAAGCACAAAATTGTGCTTTTGAGGAGGAATCGTGAACAAGTTGAACGATCCTGCTACTAAGGTTTGAACAGGAAGAGGGCAAGATGAGAAGAAACAAACCAAGGAAATACAGAAATTCACAATTTGAAATGAACGGAAAGGAAAAGAAACCTGAAATGTTGAAGCAAAGTTCAGCAAGACGAAGTCAAAGTGCGATCGAGTTCGAAGTGCGTAGTCGATCTCGTCTTCCTTACCCGTACTCGTGTCGATCTCTTGTTCTTCTCTCTCCAATTGCGATCTTGATATTGTGTTCTCTCTCTCGATCTCTCTTGTTCTTCGTCTCTCGATCTCCTCTTCTCTCTCTCCCTCTCTCTCGATCTGTCTTCTCTTCCGTATGTTCTCTCTTTCTCTCCCTCTCTCACCCCAATATTATTTAAAGATAATAATGACTCTCTAGTCCTGCTGACTCCACTACTTTTATTTAAATAATATCTCACCACTACTCCACTATTTTTATTAAAATATAATGACTCTCTCTCCCCACTTTTATTTAAAGACAATGACTCTCTCTCTCTCACCTCATTACTTTTAAAATAATAACTTTATAAAGATAATAATTTTATTTAAAAATATTTTTATATTATATTTAATATGCTGTATTTAATTAATTAAATATTATTTAGATAAGTTTTTAATATGATAATTTAACAAATATTTTTTAAAAATAACTATCTACTGTATTTTCGTACCCATATCCAAATTTGAATCCATTTCGCTGTATCTTCCATTTTCAGTTTTAAAGTGTCCGACCCCTAGATATGCAACCGCACCCGCACCCGCACCCGATACTCGCACCCGAGTTTGTGTAACGTAGAAGGCCACCACAAAAATAAGTGTAGGCAACACTATCCTAAGTTCTGAAATGTCATACATCACAAGTTCAACACTTAGTTATACCATTTTAGGGTCTATCATGTACAATTTGGTACTTCGTCTATTCAGCAATATTTTTTATCAAACCCACGTTTGTTTTAAACTAATTTTCCAAAACCAAGCACACACTTGTTCCCCAAACCTAGGTTGTTTTTAAAGTCATGTATTCAAAACACGATTTTGTGTGTGAAGTCTTGTTTCCAATACATGACTTCAGGAAGGGAAAAAAAAGAAAAGAAAAAGAAGTTACACAGACCTCAATGTAGTTTCTGAAATTACACTGACTCCCCTGTTAGAGTTGTTGGCTGACCAAGATTAAAGGGAAACGTGAAATTAACCTTTTGCCCTTTAACAATACCAAAATTCCATCACAATATTTCTAACCAAACAAATCCTTTCCTTTAGTATCTGTTACCAAACAAACACATATTTCAAAACCATCCATTTTGCTCTCTAACCAAACACTATCACCACCCACAACCTCCCCTATTTCATTAGCCAAACAAAATCCAATGCATCCCTCATCCCATTGTTCCCACCTGTGCCTCCACCTTCTCTACTCCACCCTCTCTGTCCCACTCATTCTTCCATTCTGTCTATTGATTGCATCACCTAAAACCCACAACACAGTTGGTGAATCAATTATAGGATTATGGGGCAACCACCACCACCGTAGCATACAAATCCAGCAAATTCCCTTTCTGTCTATTTGGTTAACTAACATTAATTGAAATAAGGCTTTTATGTTAGGGAAGGGTTTTTAGCCATGGAAGTCGTGCATTGATCACACGATTTCAATGAAATCGTGAAATCAATACACATATTAACTCTCCATTGCCTTTAAAATCATATTTTCAAAAAACGTTTTTATCTTAAAGTCATGTTTTGAAAACATGATTTCAAAAACGAACTTGGTTTGGTATATAAGTTCACAACGGCTTGAGTTTGGGAAATTTGTTTCGAAATGACGTGTGTTTGCTATTAAAAAAAAAACTATCTATTCAGGTTACACAGCCAGCGTGGTCTCATATTTTAAAATTTCATTAGGGCTTTAGATATTAACACTCTGCAAAGGATCCCCCCTAAACATACAGTATGCATATAGGCTTGAACACAGATAGCAGGGAGGGAAGAAACAAACCAGACAGACTTCATCTCCAGTGGCATATTTCCCAGCATAATCTTTTAATAGCTTCTCAAGAGCTGCAATGTGTGTACATAGAAATCAGCTCAAATTCAACACTCAATTTTCAAAGCAACCTTAATCATATCATAGCAAACTTGATTTTTGGTCACTGTTTGCCCAGAAATTACCAAACTCTAATGGAAAATTTCCCAACTCAAAAGTTAAAATAGGTTAGGATTTTTTCAGAGGAATTCTACAAAAAGAAACTCCTATCGATGATGAATTTAAATCAGCAGTGATTTTTTTCCTAATGCTTAGTACAAGATCAAATTCTCACCTAACTTCATGGTAATTGAAACTTAAACCAATAGGAAGCCATGATGCACTTTCAATCCACTCCCCACATTCATGGAGATGATTACCTATTGAATATGCTAATCCTAATTATGTATGTTCAATCAGATAAATTGATGCATTCTTATTGAATGTGTTGATTAATCCTTTTAAAGCACCAGAACTTCTGTGCAAAGTCCTATATTTGATACAATACTAAGATCATTTGAATGGTTTGTAGATCCTCATGGCATAAAATATAAAGTTGCCTCAAATTTAACTTGCATTGCACATAAGTTGTCTGGCTTGAAAAAAAGGAAAAAGAAAAAAGGATAGAACATGTTTCCATTGGACTGAACCATAGGTTGTATTAAAAAAGTTCCATCTTTTCAATATAAGGCATACTAAAACAAGGTATATTAATGACATGCCCATTTTCATTTGTTGGACTCCAACACTCGTCTTTAGACACTTATGACACGTGTCAAACATGTCCAGTTATTATTATTATTATTATTATTATTATTATTATTATTATAACTAAAATTTAAACTCAGACACACTTTGGAAATTTGAGGGACACATAACATTACAAATTTGAACAAAATAAATTAGGAACTAATAATTATAAAAAAAAAAAAAATGTAAATTTATACCCATTAATCCATTCTCATTTGAACTTTGGAAATGCGTGTTATGTTGTGTATTTTTATTAACTTTGACTGAAATATTTATATATATAACATATGATAAATCTAAAAAAAATTATATTTTACTCATGTTCCCACGTAATGTCCAGCATTTTTTTTTTCTGAAAACTGTTGTATCAGTGTGTCCATGTACATGCTTATTAGATTATAGGGTTTTTGGTAGAGGACGAAGTGAAGATTTGAATAGATAACAAGATCATATCTTCTACTTTTTATGTATTTATTTGATGATCCTAACACAAGACATGTTTTAAAAGTAAGCTAACATCAATTACTAATAAATTAATTAAGTAATTGGCATGAGGAAAAAGGTTCCGGTCACTTCATAAAGTCTTCTTCTTAACAATGATCCAGCTATTATTTGGTTGATACTAGCAAAACAATTAAAATACATTATTAAAACGAAATTATCATAAAGGAGTTTGGATCAAACTGTGATGTTCATGGGTTGCGCACACTTGCTCTTTGATAGGAACAATGAAACAAAGTATTGCTTGGATGATTGGAGGCAACAGGTTAAGAAGGTGAAACGTCGAGTAGTCAGCACTAGCAGGCTACACACAACACAACCAACTTGTGTATTCAAACTGGTATGACAGATTTCTTTAAATGAAAAAATAAAATAAAAATCCATAATCTGTAGTTCATTACGTAAAGCTTACCTGCAAAGCCTTTGCCAATATGATACTGAACCCAAACAAGCTTCTCATCAGGATGAACTTTTTCCCCAATATACTTCTGTACATTAAAAAGCAGGGAAAAAGATAACCCATCACTATGCTAAAAAAAATGTTGTGATAGCATTATATGAATTTTAGCAATGAAACAGAAATTTTAAAGCAGTGATCTCACTCCAATACTCACCAGTACACCTATATTCTGAAGCGGCTGTATGCTTGAGGAAACAATATTTGCAGCCTACAAATCAAATAATAAATACATTGAGGATTAGTTTAAGTAATCAGAACAGAACAGGATGAGAAATTTTTTTTTTTTAAGAAAGTAGAAATAGAAGGAATGAATGAATAGTTCTGCTAACCTAAAGTCTTATTACTTTAACATGTTATTCCCCCAAAGCCGGATAAAGCACTTCAACTAGAGCAAGGGTGTTCTAAGGATATCATTTTCCATGTAAAATGACAGTTGCATGTATGTGTTGGACCCACTAAGGTCCATTTTCAGACTTTCAGTAGCATTGCTATAACCTATACTCCATCCTCCCAAGAATTCCCTTATCTTTCAATAAGTTCCTTATCTTATCTAAGAAATGAAATACCATTGAAGGTGCATATCTTGATCACAAAAGATCACATATATACCAACAAGTGGATTTGAGCACCGAACATCAAAGATGAGAGGTCAAACAGATACCACTAAGCTTAGATCACCGATTTTCTATTGCTAAGCAGTCCAAAGAATTCCTGCGTTCATTATTTTGTGATTGAGAAAATTTGATCTCATTGTACTCCACACATGAATATAATCAAGTGGTTTGAAAGTTTAACTTTGACGATAGTCATATTGGTATGATTGTTAGAATTATACAATTCATGATTCGATATGATTCGTGATTTGATTCACAATTTGACAACAATGGGTAACCCATTCAAAACAATACAGGCCAACTTGGTATGAGGAATATCCTCGTGGAAAGTGACTACCATTGGTGATTAATTTAGCCAATAACTTCTCATAGTGTCTGTGGAGGCAACCACACCTACGCATGAGGTGCCGGATTCTGTCGAAAGAAGAGATTTCTACCCTTACTATGATTTATATAAAGAGAGGCTATTAGCATTTGAAGCAACCAACATGCGTACATGCTGGTTAGCCCAATTCAACCAAATTTGCTTTAAAAGGAGTGGGCTTGTGAAGAGAACATTTGAACTTATGATGTGTATATGGCTCTTTAGGCATGTCATTGACCAATACCAAGATAGTAATTACCTCCATATGATTGACAAGACCTTCATCAAGCAATATAGCAACCCAACATTTGTAGGATATTTTAATTAAATTTTCCTGGTTTAAACACCCTCAACTGTGAGAGTAATAAGATGCATATAGTACAACTCCATAACAATATAATGTTAACTCTGTTGTCACACAATGAATTTTAAGCCAACTAGCGTTTCTTCACCAGGTCTGAATTTTCTAGCTTATTCCTCATAAAAATTGATTTGTTACTATATTCGGTTTGAATAAAGTTTGCTAATATTAGTTGTAACTATATTTGGTTTAAATAATGTGTGCTAATATTAGTGAGAACTTGTAGAAAGTATGACGACATATGCAAGCAGTGAAATTCTAGCCTTTCCAGAGCCTCACATGGATGCTTAGGTTCAAACACATTGAATCAAATAAATATCATACTGGTGAATGGAAAAGAACTAAAAAATGTTGTTGTAAATAATAAACAACTCATATCAATTGATCAAGAAAATAAGAGATTACATGCATTATACCTGGTAGTTGATGCCTCTTCTTTGAAGATCACGAGGCAACAATGGATGTTGAGGATACTTCTCTTCCAAATACTGCAAATTACTAAGCACATGTTAGAAACATTGAAATTTTTTACTAAAATCAAATCCAATTGGGTGAAGACAATAAAGGTCCAACCACTCACCATTAAGATTGCAAAAGAGTCAGAAAGCACAATGTCCTCATCCACCAACACCGGCACATAACCAATAGGATTGAGCTTCAAAAACTCTACATTCAAGAAAGGAACAAATGTTATGAAGCATATTACAGTATCTATAACAAGTCCAGTTATGATGGAACCCAAAATTTTGGCCTCCTAGTTTTATAATATGCATATTATCTCAAGAATCAATGTCATTGTAAGCAATTTATATATATATATATATATATATAATATAAACTGCACTCACCTCCTTCAAGTTTGGGAAAAATACAGTTAGCCCCACACTTTTGACATAATTACATTGACTTCCCTTTTACTAAGGCTAAAATCACTGAAATTAATGCAAATGGTGGATAGACTTTGAAATAAACAAAGATAAATATACATTTTAGTTGAAAAGAGATAATAACAGCTTGTTTGATTCCATTTTTCTAAAAATACTTTTCACAAAATTCTACTTTCTTATTTTCCTTATTTTTTTGTTTTTACTGAATTTTTTTAATATTTTAAGCATTTTTTTTTAACTTTTTAGACACACCTAACGTAAATACACCTAAAAAGTAAAAAAAATTGTAAAAAAAATCTTTTAAAAATGTACTAAATACCAAAAATATAAGAATTCAATACATTTTTTATATTTTTTATGTATTTATTAATTTTTTAAAATATTTTTTCACAAATTTTTTACTTTTTACATATATCTAAGTACGGTGCATTTAAAAAAGTAAAAAAAATGTTTAAAATTTTAAAAATATTCACTAAAAACAAAAAAAAAAACACGAAAACCAAAAAAACTCAGTTTTCAAAAAACTTAATCCATAAAACTCAAACCAAATACACTGATTTTTTTTCATTCATAAAACTAATGAATTATTGATAATATAAATAAAAAATAAAAAAGACCTAAATTGTTATGTGAATTAAAACCTCAACGGAAACCAGTGTAATTATGTCGAAAGTGTGAGGCTAGCTATATTTTTCCCAAATCTTATCCATTCATACGTATTCTGTTGTGCTCTTGGTCTCCGTGTCAGACCATCTCAACCCTTCACCAATTTTTTCATCAAATTTGATTCTAAACTTGAACAAAAAGTGTGATTTAATATGAACTACTTCAATCTTTTCATCAAAATCTTTATAAAATTTCACCTTTTATCCCAAATTTCCCTTTTATTAGTAGCAGAACTGTTACAAAAAGTACACCTACTACTAACAACACTCTATGTGTGTGTGAAAATGAGCACCCAGTAAAATACAACTCACCAGGACTCAACTGCTCTCCCTTGAGTAAATTAACTGCTTTGTATTCATAATCAAGACCTGTTTATAAACATGATGAACAAAAATCAACAAAATTAGGGTTTGAAAAAGAAATCAAATTTAGGGAGTTATTAGAGAGAGACCTTTCAAGTTGAGGGCAATACGAACACGTTGAGAGCAGGAGCTCCGAAAGTAAGAATACAATTGCAGCTTCGTTTTGGGCTCCACAACAACACCACCACCACTCGCCTAATCATCGATTTCAAAAATTCAACAATTCAGGTGTCAATTACTTGAATTGCTCTGAGAAATGAGCGAGAAAAAAGATTGTTTAAGCATAAATCATATGAACATAGACAGAGAAAGTGAGTGTAGTAATAGAAAGAGGAGAGAGAGAGAGAGAGAGAGAGAGATGCGCACCATAACTAGTTTGAAAACGTCGATTGGATTGGAACTGAAAATTGACTCAGTTTTCAAATTTTAGTCCATATTTATATTAGTGAAATTCTATGGTACACTTATTTTATTATTACTAATATCATTTTTGGTCTATCACATATGCCAATTATGATTTTGTAATTTTTTATTTTGACCAGTTATGATTTAATTATAATTTATTATGTTGTTAATTATGATTCAATTATAATTATTTATAATTTTTAGAGAAAATGTCAAAAAGAGGGGGGAAGTTGAACAAATAATTACAACTTAAGTGTAAGTCATTTATGTATTAAATTGTGCAAATAAATATTATACTTTTATCAACTTATAATTATTTTTCTTACTTCTCATTTTTTATATATATATTTTTTCTGATTTTTATTTTAATTATAATCGAATAGGTCATTGGTTATGTTAAAATGATATTTGGTAATAATATTTGATTATGACTATTTTTTTATGTTGGTTATCAAATATTATAATTATTATTTTGGTTATAATTAAAAATGTCTTTATTATGTATTATGTTTGATTGTTATTCATTGTTATTTTTTTTTAGTTATATTTTAAAATGATTTAAATAGCACAAATATCTTAACTTACATTAATACATGATTTTGGAGTGTTTGATAATCTAATTCAGCACTTAAAATTGAATGTATTAAGAGATAATTAAATAAATCCATTTAATAATCACAATTGATATCATTTAAAATTTTAAGTACCTCTTAAAATTAGAGCTAAAAGTTAAAAAAAATTTAAGTCATATGAAACTAATTGTAATTGAATTTATAAATGCTAAACATAAGAATCAATATACATTATTATAAACTCACTATCATTACCACTACCACTACCGTCACTATCACTACCACCCCTACCATCAACACCACAACCACTTCCACAACCGCCGCCACCACCATCACTTCCACTTCGACCACCACCATCATCATTTTACTATCACCGCCACTACAATGGCCATTGTATTACTACAACAACCACTACAATCTTTCACCTCTACAATCATTGCCATCATTGTCATAACTAGTATAACAACCACCATGATTACACTGACATTACTCTTAAACCATTACAACCACTACTATCCATCTATCTCCACCATATTGACATTAGCGTGATAGCTAACACCAGCACCTCCACCACTATTACCACCACCACCAACTCACCATCACAATATAAAAATTGAAAGATATAATTTAAAAATAATAAATTTCAAATTTAATTTTATACATATCAAATAACTTGTTTAAATTCAACACTTAAATTTTTATTAATCAACTTTTCAATTTAAAAAATTCAAGATTCAATTTTTGGTATTTAATTTTCAGTTTTCAATTTTCAAACTTTAGCAAACACCATCTTTATATATATGTATATATATATATATATATATTAGTGGGTTTGGGGTTAAATATGTAAAATATATAAGTGTATTGGCTATGTATCGCCCAAATGATAAAATTATTCAGTGTGTTTGGCTTGAGTTTTATGGATTAAGTTTTTTGAAAATTAACTTTTTTGATTTTCGTATTTTTTTGTTTTTAGTGAATATTTTTTAAATTTTAAACATTTTTTTTTTTACTTTTTTAGATGCACCTTATTTAGATGTATCTAAAAACAAAAAAAATTGTAAAAAATGAATAATGAAACAAAAATTTGTTTATTGTTTATTGTTTATTGTTTATTTTTAATTTTAATTTTTAAATGGTTGGTATTATTTGGTAACAAATGAATAATGAAACAAATATATATACCCGTGCTTAGGGGTTGTTATCTTTAATTGAGCTTTGTAGAGCGTGTGGTACCAACAAAATTGCAGAGTGTGGGTTTTAAAAACAATATTTCTTTATATTTCTCAATGTCTTAAGTTTTTTGTATGTTTTTCAATAAATTACATTTGTATTCAACTACATTTTGATCTCAATATTATTTATATCGTGTCATTATGCACCAGCATACTTTTTATTTTGTATTTTACATACCTCTTATTCTTCCCTTTGTATTTTGTTTATGTACCTGCTCTTCTCATCTTCATTGTAACCCTCTCTTTGAAATTAATTTTTATATTTTATTATCCGATTTGCTACTAAAATTGTTATAAGTTGTTTAAAAATAATAATATTTCTTTATATTTTTTTAGTGTCTTTATCAAAAAATCAAAAAATGATACAAACTCTAAAGTAGGTTGTATGTTATAACTATGTTAGGAGGTTATTAATTTTGTGTCGATTAATTTTTTTTATGGCAATTATTAAACCTCATTTTGCCTTCTTGCAGTTATCTTTTTCAAATTGACATAACTAGACACTTTCAGGTTGAGACACTCTTGACCTTTAACTTCTAATTATGGACAACATTACTATTTTTGGTCACGTAAGTTGTTTTATTTTTAATTTATTTGAAAAAAAAAAATACAAAATGCTAAGTGACCTTTCTTATAAGTCTAAGTTAATTTTCTTTTCTTTTCATTATTTTTTATCTAATTGCGAGGGATTTGTAATAAATGAAAAAAGAGAAGGAAAAATTATTCACTTTTCCCCTCATTTTTCTTTGAACTCTATAGCCAAAATTATTGTACCTTTTACTTTCAACGTTGGTAATATTGTTCTAGACAAGTGCTAAAATATGTTAAATGGATTTGTGTTGTTGAGGGATTGGAAGCATGACTCCACTTTTTCCTTTCACAAAAGCAGTATGATGAGCAAGGATTTTTCCTTTCTGGATTTGTTGAATATAATTTGTTTGAACATATATATAGTGATATATATAGAACATCAGAGAAACAGTCCGTTCTCAAAATACAGAAAATGCATTGAGCACAAGAATTTCAAACTATTAAATGAACAAATATCATTCAACAACACTATCAACACTATTTTAGTTAATTTATAAATTAGATTTTTTTACTCTTTGATTCAAGTTTTGTAATTTGAATTATGTTTTTTTTTTTAATAAACCGTCAATCCGTCCGAACCGCCAAGTTGAAACCGTCATTACCTGCCAACCGAACCGCCGGTTTTTGATAAGAAAAATAGCAATTTCTATTGACAATTATGTCAATCCGCCATCTGCCATGCAGTTTTTATTTTACCCCAAACCACACCAACCCGCACCGCACCACCTCTATTCCTAGTAACAAATAGCAAATTTGAACATCTATTTAAATAGAAAAATATGATGAATCAAGAAGTTTGTGGTCTTCTGTTTTCAACTTTTCACAAAATTGATGCTAAATGCAGTGGAGACTTAAATTTCAATAGTTGAGGATTAGAAATGCCAGACCCACTTGATTGTGTACTAGGTCCAAACACCAGAAAATGAGGAAAGCATTGTGGACTTTTTAACAAAAGAAATGAGGACTCTCATGCACAACACAGCATTTTCAATGTGAAAGATTCACAAGGATAAGTTACATCATTAGGGAGTAGGACTGATTGACGAGAGCGCAACCATACACAACAGTCATACTTGAATACTAAGGTTGCATTTGGTTGGGAGATTTGGAAGAAGAAAGAGAAAAGATAGGTGAAATATGAATAAAATATATTTACATTTCACTTAGTTTCACATTTTTCGCTTTTCCTCTCCAAATCCCCCACCCAAACACAACCTAACAAATTTTCAAGTGCAGGAACCATTTCTGCAAAATGTCCTTATATTTTATTATGCTCACATATTAGCGAAATTCACAGTTAAAATACCATCTAAACATCATTGGCAAACAAACATTGTCAATCACAATCACTCCAAAAAGAGTAAGCATGTACTAAGTCCTCAGCATTGATTACAATGATGGGTGTAAGAAATAATGATAAGCATACCTCAGCTTTTGAAATATGTAATCAAGGTCTGACTTCATAGACCTTAAGAGACGTGCATTTCTAGAGAAATCAGTGGAAACCTCTGCAAAGCAATGCTCTGAGTACTCATTAAAATGTGAAAGGACTGCATTACTGTCCTGCAACCTTCCCAATCTGCAATTTGGTAGAAAACAATTATTTTAAAGTAAAAAAATAAAGAAACCAAATTAATTTCCAAACTTGGGCTGCAGCTCCATTTAAGGAACTGATGCTCGAAAACTGCTGAGTTCAAGCAGCAAATCATTAAATAAAAATCTATATAACAATGGAAGGCTTGATTTGATTTCAAGGGCTCAAAATGTATATGTGTCAACGTATGGACCATTAGATTGATTCAATCCAATGGCTGAAAATGTCTTACTCTCATTTGTCCTATTTGGACATTTTAATGGTTGAGATCAATTACCATCAAGATCTAATGGTGCAAAATGTAAGTTCCAAAATATCTCAAAATGTATCTCTCACACCTACTCCTCTCATCTCAAAATCTGTCTCTCTTCCAAATTTCAAAATTTGAACAGACCCCTCTCTCTCTCTCTCTC